ACCCACGCCAGAGCGAGTGGCAACAACTCCTTAAAAGCCCAGGACTGGTAAAGCCCGCACTTGGGGCAAATCCGATGGGGTAAGGATTTGCCCCCCAGCGGGTAGGATTCACGCTTTTGCCGTGAGTAGAGGATCCACTGGATCAAGGGACAATGGTATAAGGACTCCTTCTCCTTTAAGAGAAGCAGCAGTAACAACATGGAATGAACTGACCTGCACTCCCCCATTCCCTGCCCCCCTGTGCTGCTGGGGGGAGGAGGTAGAGCCAGGAAGAGAAGGCAAAAGTGGGGGAGTGGTGGTGTTTTTAAAGATTTGGCCTTGTTTTCTTGTTATCCTCTCAAGTAACCGTTTTTGTGTGCTTTTCTCTTTGTAGGTAGCTGTTAATAAACTGTTTTGTGTTAAGAAAACAGCCTCTTTTGCCCGGGACCATGGTTGGTGGGTGCTCCTCTATTCCTGTCTCGACCCTCAGCTCTTTTATTGTATTTTTCTTCTCTCCATTTTACTGGAGTGGGAGAGCTGCGTGGGGTTTAGTTGCCAGATCAGCCTAACCCACGACAGGACAATATGATGTTCATAGAAGAGGAAGGGCTCACACTTCTGAAGAGAGCTACAACTGGGCAAAATTTTGCATAACAGTTTGCAAAGGCTTCTTACTCTTCACATGCACTGTCACTGCTATTACAGCCAAAAACCTTCCTGAGCAGTAACAGCAGTTTATCACACACAATTGCATGGATGAATGTGTAAGAAAACTGTGTGCTCATGAAGCACAGAATCAGTCTGGTTGAGGTTGGCAGGGACCTCTGGAGAGGTATGTGGTCCAACTCTTTTGCTCAAGCAGGGCCACCTAAAGCTGGTTGCCCAGGATCATGACCTTTGAATATCTCCAAGGATGAGACTCCATAGCCTCTATGGGCAACCTATGCCAACCTGACCCAACTCAGTCACCCTCATAGTAAAAAAGTGTTGCCTTATACTCAGATGGAGCCTCCTGTGTTTCAGGGTGTGCCCACTGCCTCTTTAAGTCTGAAGGACTTAAAACAACAGACTTTTGCTGATTATGGGGTGTCTGTATTGATCAATGTCATCATTCTTTAGAGACAGCAAGTCTATTTCCATTACCTATCTATCCTGATGTACAAAAAAAGTGAACCCCTTTTTTCCATTTTTCATTGACACAAAAAGCCAATGACACTGACTTGTCTGCAGGTGTACATACACCCTTTCTACTCTGTTGTGGCACCTACAGATGAGCTATGATCTGATTGCTTTACTCCTGCTGGCCTCATCTCAGAAATTATTCCAGAATTTGGCACAAACTTTTCTCACAAACCAATTATATGATGTACCTTTTTAAAGGAAGACGTAGCATATGCTCTATAGACCTGTACAGCACCTTAGTTAGACTAGGTATTGAAATTGCAGTCATCTATTAGCAAAATATAGGCTTTTGTAAAAGTACTGATCTTTTCATCTAGAGTTATTTTGGCCAAAAAATGAAACTGCATTTGATGGCTTTACCTACATCACATATTTAATAAAATTTTCTTTGACTTAAAGACTTTGGAGCTTTTAATGGAAAACCTTTAAAACAGTCACTTGATGGTAAAGCATCACTAAAATCAAACCACTATCCCTTTCTTCTTTACTGAGACAGGCTGCTTATCTCTTTGCAGTTAATTACAACTCAGCTAGCTTGGCATGGCCTCCTCCTTTAGCATACAAAACAGTAAAACAAAATTACTTCTTGTGACCTATATTCATAATTTAAAACCCATATACCATTGAGATTAATGACATTTGGAGCTCTGCACCCTTCTTGCCATGAAACAGAATTTATCAATAAAAGCAAAACAGGAAAATTGGTCTTTAACATGAACATTTCTCTTCCCCCATCCTTTTTCTTAAAATATAATTTAGACTTAGATCCTAAGGAAACCAAAAATGACACGGAGCATTACATAAGGATTTCTTTTCAATAGGACCTAGTTTTGTTTTTTAAAGAGTTAACCTATGTATATTGGATACAGAGTTTGGAGAGTTTGTTTTCTTGCTAAAACCAACCAGAAGACAACTGGCCAGAAGATCCAATCTAGCAGACAGCACATTTTAATTGAAAAGCAGTCAGTTTCCTATGGTTACTGAGGGTCAAGTGGGGCCAGTTTTAATGCTCTGTTACATGAGAAGAAAATGTTAAAGCATTATGTAAAGTGCATACTGAATTACTGCTTATGCTAATGCTACCTGACCTTTCTTCTTTGCTGAAAAGATATGATTGGCCATGTTATCATTGATTTTGAAGGGAGAAAAAAATCAGCCACATGCTGCTAGTGAACCTTGTTCTGAGGTTGTTTCAATTAAAGCAGTATCTCTTTTCTCTCAGCCGTCCATTTCATCCCTTGCCCGCTGAGGCCATCGCTAACACAGGCACATATTCACAGCTTCAGGATATCTCTAAGGTAGACCAAAAGTCCTTCTACCTCAGCCTTGCATCTGCAACAATGGCCAGCACTATGTGCTTAGGGAAATGATAGAACAACAGTATAAACATGACTAATACTTCCCTTATTGCACCCTGCCAGCCTCTGACAACACGAAGCTTAAACCAGTAACTTACAGGTGAGTAAACTGTTACTAAACTAGAATTAATCTGTCCCCAGTGATCACAGGAGGAATCCTACCTTTTGAGTACTTCCAGACAATGGTAGGAACAGGATAACCCTCTGCAGAGCAGTTGAGAATCACAGCTTTTCCATAGATCCCATCCTGGTCGCTGGGCTGAACCACAAACCTGGGGGGCACTGCGGAAGGAAGCAAAAGGAGCTGTGAGGATTTGTACAGCTTACCAGGTAGCTCAAAACGGTAGACCAGTCAAACAAAGAGGCATAACATTGTATAGTCGAAAGCAAAAATTAAAACGAGATTTTTGATGATCCAGTGACATAGCAAAATTGGGTTTACATGATTATTTCCTTTCTGCGCACAATCTCCATGTATTTCTTGCCAGGCACAACAAAAGAACTGGTCTTGATAAGATACAAAAATAAGTTCAAAATCACTTCACGGGAGAGATTATAAAATGGAATAACAGATATATCAAACTGTCATGGTCAGAAAAGAAATGCTTTCTAACAAAGGGAGAGGTTTGACAGTTGTCTAAGAACAACTGAAGTTTTCTGTGTTTGATTTTTTATAACAGTGAACTAGCAAGTTTTAGAAAAATAATTAAATTATGTAGCATAAATAACCTTAAAAAACAACAGTTTTTAACAATAACTTCATATTAAAACGAACCATAAATTCTAACAGGACTTTTCTTTCCGAACAGCCATAAAAAGGTTCAACACAATTTGCTTGCATTATGTTGAAGAGAAGTCTTATTCTAAGGAAGCATAAAACCACTGCAATGAGTCCTCCAGACATAGGCAAGTACATGTATATTTGTACACAAATAAGAGATGGTCATCTCAAGGAAAACCTCTACATGCTCCAAATACAGATACATGGTGGACAAAACAACTTGTGACAATGCTAGACCTACGGTTTACCATGAAGACCTGATGCTGGATGTCAATGTCTCAATAAAACCTGCAGATTTGACAAAAGTTTGCAAGAAAAGCTGAAAACTGTGAAGAATGTTGAAAGAGCCACAAAAGATACTGACAATTAAAGGTACTTGATGATCGTATTAAACTCAGTTGAAGTCATAGATTTTCATTGACTTCCTGTCCTTTGGCTCAGACCATGAAGAAGTAAATACCTGAGAAAAAGAGTAAATTATTTGTGCCCTTATCCCACACGTTATTCTTTTTTGTCATTTCTTACAGTGTTACAGAGAAAATATAGTAAGGTGACTGAGCCTGTGCCAGATTTTTTTTTTCTTCTCTTGAGTAGAGCAACACATTGAGATCTAATGCAGTAAAGGAGAAATCCTGACAGTTGCTTGCTTTCGTCATCCCACTGCAGCATATGCACATGGGGGACACACATGCACTCTCATGGGTTCACAGCTCCTTAGGCCTAGCCAGTGTCAAGTTTGTCTGAACATTGAGAGGGCAGAGCAGAGGGCCCAACCATTCCTCCTCGCTCTGACCCCACCTCGGTCTTCCCAAAGCCCCATTGGGCCCCACCACCTGACTCTCCAGAAGTGCTAAAAATTAAGAAAGGAAGTATGGGAGAGGGCTATAGCATGAGGAAATGTAAGGTAGCACAGAAGATGATCATCAGTGCAGTGATTATTTGCCCTGGGACCCGAAAAAGCTCGTAATGGCCATGAATGCAGCACTACTTATACATCAGAAAAAAACGCAGAAGCACAAAGAGGTAATATATTACTTTAACCTTTTTTTCAGTATATACACTCTCATAGTTTATGCAAATAGCATCTCCCATTATACCAGAGTCCCAAGTTTTCCTTAATGAGAAACTTGAGCTGCCAATGTTGGTATGGACAGGACTGCTAAAAGTTGGAGGTATCTAGAGATACTCTCTCTAGGTGCAGAGAACCCTCCTTCACAATGGCTTGAGCCTTCCTCGCTGTGCCTCTGTAATCCAGAGTCCTCTCCAGGTTTCTCTTTCCACCTTCATGGTTACAACTGTTTCTTTTGAAAGATGAGAACAATCTTACGAGAGCAAACAATCCCTTTAACTGGAACCTCCTGCTTACTGAATTCTATAACTATAAAGCAAAGCTGTTTATTGCCTAAATACGCACAAAGAAGCTCCACTTCTATTTAGAATGTGGCTAGAAGAAACAGAAGGAACTAACAGCGATACAGGCAAGAGACACCTTTGTACTAGAAGATGTATTTACTGCTGTCAAACATTTCAGCTTTCTGAACAGCTGCCACACTGACAAACATAAATCATATGTTAATTCACAATAGGTAAGCATCAAACATGAAATCCCAGCAACAGCGGCCCTGGGCAGTCACCCACCCTGTTCTAATTATCTACTCACAGAAGACATTTCCTTCAGTAGCTCTTTTCTCACTGTTCTGTATTCATTTTATCACCAAGTACTTATTTTCCAAAGCAGGTGAAAAGTACAATTAGTTGCACAAATGTGTTTGATTTTATGCAACTCAGCACGGTGGCATCAGATTGTTTCATCTGGAGAACTGTAAGTAAATGTGTATTCACAACTTCTGAAAAATCAATTACAAGCTGCTTATCCATAAAGAGAGTAGACCAAAAAAAGAAAAACCCAAAACACAAAACCGCCTCAGTTGTATCAGTCTTATGGGTGAATGGTTACAAATGGTGCAATGGAGTGGTTGATAATTACTAGCCTCATCTACCACTGAAAACTGTGAAGAGCATAATGTATTTTAAAATCTCTCTTCCAATACAAAATTTTTGTAACTACTTTGTTTTATTTCCCTTCTTTTTGAAAAATATTTTCTTTATATTCTTCATTTGCTATGGATGACCCAAAAAGTGCTAAATTTTCAGGAAATAATTTATTATATTAAATGGGTAGGCATAAGCAGAAATTTCCAGAAAAGTTAAGCAAGATTGCCTATTATGGAATAAAGGCTAGCAATCTTTAAAATACTATTTGCATTAAAGCTATCTGTTAAAAAAAAATTTTGTCTAATCCCTTTGGGCATATAGAGATAAAAATGGATGGAAGCCAAGTGTAGCTGTTATTTGAGTATTTCTATGGAAATGCATCCATAAACATCTTTAATGAACTCATGTAGATACTCGCAATGTGCTGTGCCTTTAACACGGACAAGCTCTGAACAGGCTTTTTATCATACCAATTTCACTCTATTTTGGGTATGCATATAAAATGTAATTTTTTCTCAGATATTCTTGGTATTCTCATTTTTAATCACTATTTTTAATATAGAATTTGATATCAGAATGGTAACCATGGAGATTAAATTTTGCTGTATAAGCTCCAGAACCAGGTATATGATTAGCAATCATACGGTTTCCTTATACTGCTCCATAAACAAAACACATTTCAACATTACTTGGCAAAAACTCTGCCCACACCCAGTAACAGAACCAATTTCTATATTTGGTAAACCTTTGGTCTTCCTTTAGGACTACTTATGAAAATGCCAACTACTGCTCTGATTTTGAATACATGAACCCTTGACACTTAGTCTTAAGATTGCCAATAGAAATCAGAAAAATGCTGCAGCAAAACAAAATTACTCATTCAATGACCTTTCAATTGTTTCGGTATTGCTGTCTAGGTAAAACCACAGGATATTTCTCCTCACAGAAAAGATTAAAAAGTAAACAGAGGAAACCTTTAAGTTTTTCTTCCTCACTGATAGTTTGCTTCTCAATTTTCTTTCAAATGAATAACTTGTTCAGTGCTACGTGCTACCATATTTTGGAAGACAATGCAGTTAACTACTTTATCTAAATTTTGATACTTAGCTTTAGATTACGAAGCTGCATTCACTTTTTCATTATCTTTCAGGAATTCATTAGCTCTTAAAGAAAATTTGCTTAGTAAGAACTTAACCACGTTAATTTGTCTAATATGATTAAGTAGAGTTAATGGAGAAAAGAAAGCAATTAGTTCTCCTCTCTCTAGCTGTAAAGTTGTGGGCCTCATCTGCCCCTTTAGATATGAAACACTTACAAATAGCTCACAAATATGACTGAAGAGTTCTACTTTTATTATCATCCTTGTTTCAGCAGCACAGTCCCTTGAGCCCGTAAAGGAGGGCATTTAAAACTGCTTTAAGAGTGAGTTTCTGTTAGGCTCTCTCATTTAATGCAGCCCACGGATCTGTGACGAGAAATGAGCTGTTGAATTGTTTAATGCAAGAGCAATAAGTTGACAGATGCAAACTATTTAATGGCTGAACTCAAAGGACCTAAAAAAGGTGTTTTCCGTCAATATTATGACTAGCAGTCCCAGGCTCTCACAAAGGGAAAAAAAGAATGAGAGCAATCAGAATAGGATGTTGAAGATAACGTGAATGCTACAGTGCCGTTTTAAAAGAAGGAAAATGCTTTTGTTATCTCCTTGTGTGAAACAATCCTGATAAGAAGAGAAAGCAGAAGTTGCCCTAAGAAAATACCGCTTACCAGCGTCACCACTGCTTGCAATGATGGGCTTTACAAGCTACTAACTAAAACAAATTTATGAGTGTGCGCAAACATTCCCTGATTTAATTTTGCTTTATGTCAATCCAAGAATCCTTTCTGACTCTGCTTTATGCCAGGGTCCAGATGACAAACTCGCACAATCCATCCTGGACTTCAAATCTATGCAAGTGCTTCTGGCTCCAAAGTACAGCGATTAGTACATCACACTGGAGAGCAATTCTGAAGGCTTCTAACACGAACTCCTCTGGTGGGCTACTGGAGTGAGTTAAGAAATAATCTATGACATTGGCCCAGAATACAATGTTTCATTTTTACATGGAATATTTGTACTTTACATTTAGATCATACTGTCAAAATGATGGAAGAAATTTAATCAGCCAAAGCAACCATTGATGTATTAATGAATGAGATCATTAAACACTGTACTTTAGCAAAGATGAACAGTTATTAAATTTGGTCATTGGACCTAAGGGGTCGATTTAGCTGGTTTAGTGAAACCATTTGCTATGCAGTTCAAGAAAAAAGATGTACTTTTGCAAAATGAGACAGTGCCTAGTGGTTTGTGTTGATCAGGTTTGTCTAATGAGAACATTAAATAGGAAGTGAATTATTCAAGAATAATCTTCTAAGCCGCAGTGTAAACAGCAGCAAGGAAAGTAAATTAGTTTTGACACCAGCTGCAACCGTAAATCTTTTTCCCCTGCTTTTCTGTCACAAA